ATGCATCTAGGATAATTACATGAACGTTAATGAATACCGCTCCCTAGTCTCAATTTTTTATTGTGCAAACATAGCAGGCTGAGACCATTATGGTGGTGTCAATCTATTTCAGTGCTTGGATTAATTCCATGCACATCTATCCAGGGTGCTGCTGGCGACACAGATGAATGATGGAGGCTCACAGCTCCTGTAATCTGAATGTCTTCATTTCTTTGGTTGGATGCCAACCATGAGTGTCTACACCAAGTGATTTTTCCTGTATTCCTTGGTCCTTCCTCTATTATTTAGAAGAGGACATAAGGACATGACACCGTTCCAAATTTACTTATTCCATTTTTTTCTTTATCATTCTTCAGAAACCTATATACTTTTTCTTCTCCCCGTACTGGAGCTACATTCTCACCTCCTTTCATTTTTTAATTCTGCAACAGTGTCTCAAAAAATTTTCCAGGCAGGATTCCAGCTTTCAATTCTGCCATGGCTTCCCGAGTCCTGGGATCACAGGCGTGCTCTACCACACCTTGCTCAAAACAAACGCTTAAAATATTCTCACAGCTGGGCATGGTGGCCCACGCCTGTGATCCCAGCATTCAGGAGGCTGAGGCAGGCGGATTGCCCTTGAGTTCGAGGCCAGCCTCAACTACATGGCGAGAACCTGTCTCAGAAAACAAAAGAAAAAAGAAAAAGGCAGCCCAGGCGGTTCCTATGTGATAGTGAAGTGGAAAGTTACAATAAATGATAGAGTGAAAGAAAGGAGAACCCTAATCTCCCCTCTAGGACTTTTGTTTTCTTTCAGTCCTTCTCGATTCAGAGATTCTCCTGTCCTTCCCCACCCCTCTCCCATTGTGTCTGCCGCCCGCATTGTTTTAGCATAGTTAGGCATTCGGTTTAATTTGCAGCAACGGAGAGAGTGGAGGGCGGTGGGTGGAGAACGGCTGGCCCGCGTTTCGCTGCTCTGACGGCGGACTGCCGTTGAGGGGCTGGTTGGAGCCGGCTGGAGAGGAAGCCGTGGCGGAGCTGGATTTACAGCAGCTGCTGCGCTACAGAGCAGTTTGCAGCAGCGGTTGTTACCAGACCCCTCCGCCGCCTCTCTGGCTTCATGAATTTTGCAGTAATCGCATCGGATACTCCATAAAGAATGCTATTTGGGGCACTGATAACCATCTTGGGTTCGGAGATTAAATTCCTGTTTACAGTTCTTTTTACTACGCGGAGTCTCTAGTTATGACGAAATCCCAGCTTTTCTCCCTGTGTTGAAACTCAAAGGAGAAGATTTGTAGCACATGGTGTGGCGGATCTGTAAGACTCTTTGCTGGACCTGCAATCTAGAAAAAAACGTACTGTTTTCCAAGTGGGACTCCCGCCTTTCTGGCTGATGTAGACACACGCCTATATATAGAAGCAGTCAGAGAAGCGTGCTTGGACCGACCTGGGCGGATTTGTTAGGACAGAGTTTGTTTTCAGGTGTGTTTAAGCCCTTGCTTGTAGGTACCTTCCTAGTGGAATGTTAAAAAAATCATTTGTGCGGCTGTGGAGTTCTAACCAGCTATTCTGATTGACTCACGGAGAGGGTGAACGACATGCATTTCATTACAAATATATTTAATTCTGGGGAACTTAATGACTTAGCAAGACTCTGACTCCGAACAAACACAGTAAATAGAGGGCTGAGGATAGCTCATTGTGAAGGCCTGGGTTCAATCCTCAGTACCAAATATATCTCCGCGGCCCAAGCTGAATAAACTTTAATCTGAAGACATTACTCACTCCTAGTCACACTCAGGGCCATGTAATAAATATTTAATGATTTGTATTACCACACATCTAAATAGTGTATAATTTCTTTCTGCTATTTGGCTATTTTGGCACCAGCTTGAATACCAGTCAACATTTAATGTAGTCCGGGCTGGCTGATGAGAAAAGTGAGGTTTATGAAAATTAAGCAATAATCCCGTGTTCTAGTAGGTAAATCTGGGCTTCCAAATCAGATTTATCTGATTTAGGTTACTTAGGTCTTCCCAGGGGACTCAACTAATCTTAGGGCCCTCTGAATAATATTAATTCACTGGTTAACGATGATGAGTGTGTGATTAAGCCAGACAAGCTACTTAGTGTGCTTTTGAGCATATGTGGCTACTCAAAAAAGATAGAAGATATACCTGTCTAAACACATCAGCCATAAAGCCTTGACGATTATGACTAAATAGCTTTCTTGACTTTGGTTTCCCAATATAGAAATAGTGAAAATAGGGCCAGGGATTTAGCTTGGTAGTTCTGTTGCCTGCCTCGCAAGCGCAAGGACTTGTTTGATCCCCAGTACCAAAAAAAAAAAAATCGTGAAAATAATTTCTGCTCCCTCATTACTTCAAAAAATATGAAGTATGAAATGATCATGTGAACATTATTTTATCAATGTAATAATGACCACCTGTTTAAACAAAACCATATCATTGGCTTTTAAAAAAATAGTCTTGCTGGTTTTCTTTCCCTCCGTACATCTAAAGCAATGCTGTATAAATCAGGAATATTTTAGGGTGTGTACAGCACATAATAGCACGATGAATGGTCACTTTTAGGGGGAGGGGACAAGCGAATCAGTACTTAACATTCCCTATCCCAGTGATGGTGAACCTTTTAGGGACCGAGGGCCCAAACTACAACCCCAAACCCACTTATTTATTGCAAAGTGCCAACACTGCAATTAAACCTGAGTACTGAGGTTTAGCTTAGATAAAGCAACTCATACACTTGGCTCTTGTGCTGACAGAGCTCTGGGTGCCTGCTGAGTGCCATAGGTTCGCCACCACTGCCCTATTCCAAAGGGTACATGGTTACCATGAATTGGATTCAATTCCTGAGGGACTGAAGGAACGGGCTAAATATTAAATATTACTGTCTTCTGTGCAACTGCTTTCCTGGGTCAATTTCCCTGTGTATCTTTTCCTAGACTTTCCTAGTGTTAATATCTGTGAATATGCTTCCCCCAATCACGAAAGGCTTCTCTTGTTGGACTTTGGGTTTGATGCATTTTATGTCCCAGGAAGCTGAACATCAGAGTGGAAACCCGTAATATTTTAGTTCTGTAGACCTTCACCTTCTGAAGGTTGTATGTCATGCAACACATTTACTCCTCTGCATGTGTCCCCTGTGGATATTGACCTCTATCCTAAGTTACTTTCGGCATATAACATCATACTAGCAGGAAACCCTCACAAGCCTTGCTGGGCTGGAATTCTCCATCCTCCTGCCTCATCCTCCCAGTATGCTGGGATTACGGGTATGTCACCACGTCCAGCTAGAGCTTTTGCTTTGTAGCAGGCATTAGGTATTAACCTACAGCCAGCCTTGTATTCACGCATTCAACCAACTGCAGGTGGAAAAAATTTGAAAAAAAAATTGAGTCAATACTGAACAGACTTGTATTCTCTTGTTTCTCTAAACGATGCAGCTTAACAACTATTTACCAGGTGTTTCATGTTGTATTAGGTATGATAAGTAAACTGGAGAGGATTGAAGTTATGCAATACTATCACCATTATGTATGGGACTTGGACATCCCCTAGAGTTCGATATCTGGGTAAGGTCTAGAACCAATTCCCTGTGGATACTGAGGGATAAGAACACGCTTATTAACACACTTTTTTTTTTTTTTAAAGTTTTTTGAGACAAGGTTTTGCTATGTAGTTCAGGCTGGCCTCCAACTCACAGCGATCCTCCTGTTTCAGCCTCCCAAATGCTGGGATCACAGGCGTGGGACACCACACCCAGCTCAGGCCTTAGGACAACTCAGTTAATTAGGTAACTATTTTTAGCCTCAGTTTTAAAGGGCCACAGATTAAGATGTAGATACCCACGCCAGTAGCCGATCACATGGGTAGCAGATGATCTGATGCGAAGAACCACAAATTCAATCCAGGCAGTCCGGCTCCAGCAGTTATTGCCTAAAGAACTCTTCAAGAACTGTCAGCATCCTATGGGAACTCAGCAAAAATAACCCGGGTGATGCAATGGTACTGACGATAGCCTGCGGAATGGAATGGACAATGGAATGCACGTGTGGCTGGGCTGACTCAGGAGTGCCTGCAGCTTGCCTGGAGGCAGCCTCATCAGCAGACCTGTAGTCACACCCGCATCCTTCCCGGAAAGCAGGCAGGTCAGGCCCCGCGGCCTGGAAACAGTAGTGAGGTCCTCGAATATACTGGGGTTCTTAACCTCTCTTGGGCCGTGAATTTCATTTTCACGTAGTTTTGGAAGTCAGCAAGCCTCTTAAGGCTGTCATCTCGTTTCACTTCCACAGCGACCGGGATCACACTTTTCGTGACGAAGGCGGAGAGGGCGCTGAGGGCCGAACCGGCCCGGGCTGGCGGCGCGTCCAGCGCCCGCCTGGATCTCGCGGCCCGCGCGGCCCGGGCCTGTGCGGAGCCTAAACCCGCCCGGCGCGCACGGAGGCTTTGTCCTCTCACGAGCGGGCGAGGCTCCCGGAGCGGACAGGCCAGGAGGAGCCGCTGGGCCAGGCAGTGCCGAGCGAGGCCCGGGGTCGGGCCTGGGTCAGGACAGCGGGCGAGGGCCGCCACGGGGGGCATCGTCCCGGGGGTTTGGCCCGCAATCGCGCCCAGCTCTGAGCAGGCTCGGGGCTCGGACGGCGGCGGGGCGGGGCCCGCGCAGGTGCGGTGGGCGAGCGGCTCCCAGGCCCCGCCCACACCCCCGCCCCCGCCCCCGCCCCGAGCGCGGCGCCGAGGGCGGGGCGGGCGCGAGCCGGGCTATATTCGCGCGCTCGAGGGTGGCGCGCGCTGTGTGTGAGCGGGGGCGCGCGCGAGGGAGCGAGCGGCAGGCGAGTGAAGGGCCGAGGCCAAGCGGCGGGGTGTGAGCTGGCGTGAGGGCGCCGGCGACCGTGGGAGTGGGCGAGGGCCCGGCGGCGCGACCGCGAGGCCCTGAGGAGGCGGGCGAGGGCCGAGGGCGCCCGGCCGGGCCGCGGCAGGAGCGGCGGCGGAGAGGAGGCGGCGCCGGCGGCATCCCGGCCCCTCCGCGCCTCAGCGACCCCACCGGCCTGGGCCGCGGTGTCCCGGGAGGCCGCACCGGTGCGCCGACGGGCGAGGGCGGACCGCGGGCCAGGTGAGCGGTCGGCCGCCCGCGGGTGCGGGGCGCTGCTGGGCGCGAGGAGGCGCGGAGGGCGCGGCCCGCCGGGGGGTGTGGCGGCGCGGAGGGGCAGGGCACGGGGCCTGCGGGTCGGGCGCTCCCCGCGCCCGCTCCCGGCCGCCTGCGGGCCGTCCTCGCCCCTCCGGGGAGCCAGCGGCTGACCCGACGCTGGCCTTGTTCGGCTTTTTTTAGCGTTTGACCAGGACCGAATTTCTTTCCGCCCCAGAATTGTATCGGGGTGCGAGGTGCCGAGCAGTCCTGCCTCGGGGGTTTATTTCTGGCCCCAGATTTGTGGTCCGTCTTTAGTCCCATTCGGATGTCTGAATAGGGGTGGAGTGTCCATTCTGTTCTGTGAATGGGTTATTATGCCAACCGTTCTGAATTTAACTTCAGTGTAAATTCTTCCAGTGTGCTGTTATTTTCCCATTAATTGCCTATACTGTATTTTCCTCTGTTTTCGTGCAGTTGGGTTAAATTTTAAATCTTACATTGAAAGTATATGGGCAGCTTAGTGTGGGAGATTTTTCTCTTACTGGTTCAATGTTTTTTGATGGACGTTCTTAATTATTAACTATTTTAAATGTTACTTAAATGTCTTTTTTTTTTTTTTTTGCACTGTGGAATAGCTTAGGAGTCATTTCTTCTGTTAAAATGATTTCTTAAAAACAGTTGCAAGATACCTTTAAAAAAATTCACTTGGAATAAAACTGAAATTTCAATCATGGATATGCAACATTTAAAAAGTTTTTCTAAAATGTAACCTAATTTTAAGAACATAGTGAAATTTCTAATAGTTACTGTATGTTATTTGGCTAGTATGTCAAAGGGAAGGAGGAATATTTTGTTTTGAGATAATATGTTTATTCCTATCTTAGTGCTATTTCCTTCTTTCCTGTTGTTGATTTAGTTGTTAGTTTGGCAACATGATTTGATTTCCGCCCCCCATCTTTCTCCGGTTTTCTCCTGTTCCCAGTATGTGCTGTAGTCTGCATGTCAGGAGGCAGGCAGTCCGAATCTGATAAAGGAGCCAAGAAGGGGAACATCAAATTCAGTCACAGTCCTCCACTCAATCAGAGCTACATTTCTCTTCCTGCGTTTCCCACTTCTGGGGGTAAGGAGCTGAGTAGCCTCTAAAATTCCATTTATCATAGCTTTTTTTTCCTCCATTCGTTTTCTAAATTGGTTATACAGATTGATGAGTTTCATTTTGGCAGATTTGTACATGCACATAAAAAACTTTGATCATTTTCACCCCCTTGCTCTGTTCTCACCCCTAGTTTCACATTTTTCTTGGCTTTATTTTTCTCATGTTTTCTTAAGAGTTCCTATTGGATATACTCATGTCAGTAGTAGCTTCTAGGAGCAGAAGGGAGAATGACAAGAAATTATCTCCTTTTTCTTTTCCCTTGTCATACAGTCTCCTTTTTTACTCCAGAGGGAAATTACTAGCAACATCTTAGAAATCTACTCCTCAGCCACATTGAGAAAGAATGCACAGGAATATTCTCTTTTTCTGACTAATGAACATGAACCAAATGCATTAGTTTGTTGGGGCACCTGGGGAAGCATCCATTAAAATACCTCCCAGTTCCTCCTGCTGCCAGTTTGTATCCACCTGGTCCTTGCTAGTGGAACTCTTTTTTTTTTTTTTTTTTTGTACCAGGGATTGAGCTGGGAACCTTGCACTTGTGAGGCAGGTACCAGAACCACTGAGCTAAATCCCCAGCCCTACTGGATCTCTTTCTCAAAGCTCCCCACTCAGAGCTGAACAACTGATGGAGCAACATACCTAATAGGGGCTGAGAGGAAGAGGAGAGCTGAGTGAATTGTTCCACACCCTAAGCAAGAGTAGATTTCATCTTCTAGGGAGTCGGGAGCAGGCCTAGAGATGTAAACTGATTGAGGAAGAACTTCTATACTCACAAACAGCATGTGGAAAGGGATGTAAAGAGATACAAGTAGTGTTATGTACATGCACCAACTCCTCATGATGAATATAATCATTATGTCCCATGGATAGGTACTAGCACAAATTAAAAAAAACAAATCTAAAACAACTTGGAGTTGGAGCTGGGGATTTAGCTCAGTGGTTCCTCTGGCCGCCTTGCAAATGCAAGGACCCCCTAGTTCAATCCCCGGTACCAAAACAAACAACAAAAAAACCCCAAACAACTTGGAGAGAGAGAAAACCAAATATAAAGTAAGATGAGTTGTATGTTGCTGACAACTGTTTTGTGGGCACTTTACTGATGTGGACTCCTAGAGACTATTTTATGCCAGGTGAGTTTACAAAGAGTGTTTTACAAATGGGATTTCAGTCATAAGCTGATGAGAAAAGAGCCTTTAGAAATTATAGTAATTGTTTCATACATGCACACCCCTTTGCTGAGGATTATACTCAGTTCCTTGAGCATGCTAGGCAAACACTACCACAGAGCTATAATTCCAGGCCTAGTAGTTATATATTAAGATTTGAGGGAGAAGATTGCAATGGAACAATGAAAAAGGTATTATTTTGAAGTGTTGGCTGTGCTGGCACGTGCGGTTGTTTCAAGAAAGGTTCAGTAGGGATATTAGGTACAGATGTTAATTCTTTCATTACAGTACTTGGGTTTGTCCTGCTTGACATATTAAATATTGTTAAGAAATAATATAGTATCCCCCAAAATAACTACATAGTATATTTTTCGATTCATGTGCCATATGTATCTGAGTATGCTTTAGATTTGCAGAAAAGGACTGATTTTCTGGCTTCATAGTAACTAATGCCCTGGTGTTATTTTTAATGTTTTCTTTTCCGGTTATTTTTTCTTCTCAGCTGGCACGGAGGGAAAAAGCCACAGAGCTAGTCAGCTCCACTCCCTTAGAGCCTGGTCTGTGTTTGGAGCTCATCTGCTTGAATCTTTTCCTCTTACTGAAATTCTGTTTTTGTTTTTCCTCCCTGATTTTATTAACAAAGCTAATTACTTCAAAATCAGTTGTATAATAATGATGGAAAGTAGCATTAGGCTTTTTTTTTTTGGTACCAGGGATTGAACTCTGGTCCTTGCACTTGTGCAGCAGGTGGTGAAACCACTGAGCTAAATCCCCGGCCCTCTAGGTTTGTTTTTTAAGAGAAACTGAAGATACAGTAAATTATGAACTTTGACAGCTACATTAGATCTTATAGAGATACACATTTGCCTGGTATTTAACATTGCAAATAGCTTTTTAGATACTCTCATGATTCAATATAGCCATCTCTTAAACTCATCCTTTAGCTTGTGAGATTGTTATCTTGCATGTTTTGGGCTGTCCACTGGGGGTGCAGAATAGTGGGTCTGTCTCTGCATTTACATTTTAGTTTCTCTGATTGCTATATTTTTAATGTCGGTTTTCTCAGTGTCTGGAGAAGTCTACCAGGTTCTCAAAAAACGTATACCAATTCATGAATTGATGAGTTGGCAAAACAAAATCTGTTTAAATGTTGACATGTCTTATTCATCTTCCTAAACTGGCAGCATGTCACTACATTGTGGGGAAAAGAAATATTTCAGAACTACCATCTTTTTGTTTTCACTTTATATTAAACTCCTTATATTCTAGTTTTTTCTTTCCTTCTGATACTACATGTTCTTATAAATATGGAAATAAGGCCTCAAATTGCAACATGGAATTGCTATGTAAGATCAGACCACTTTTCTCTTACTACTCTGCTGTCTCACTTTTAGGTACCTCTTGAGTTTTTGGTACTTTATCAGAAAACTGCATATTGAAAATTGATGGAGACTTGCCCAAATGGCAGCCTAGGAATTCTTCTTGATGCTTTGGTGTCCTCAGTTGTTAGCTTATTCCTTTGCTGTGTAATTCAGTTCACCTCATGTGGGGCTTGGGTAAATGAGTAGGTTTCTAACTTTTTCAAAGAAGAGTAATGTCAGGAATGAAAATTAGGTGGGAAGGCCTGCCATTGTTACAGTTAGGAACTTTGAGCTACGCTGTCTGTGCATTGTATTGCAGAAACTTTCTTCAATTTTGTGCTATGTTCCAGATATGTTTTTATGCATCTTTCCTCTATTAATTGAGATCGTTAGAAATTTCATTTGAATTTCAGAGAACTCCTCCCCCTGTTCTTAAGTTTAGTGGGTTTAGTATATCACATATCATTTATGGAATTTTAGTAACTAAGCCACAGATAACTTGAGTAAAAGGTAACATTTTTTTCTAACTGGTTGGAAATGTGTAAAAATTTGCAGTTAATTTTCTTTTTATTGTGATAAAATACAGCACACATAAGTTACCATTTAAACCATTAACTCTACCTAACGAGACTGAAAACTCTATACCTACTAAACAGTTCCATATTTCCCCTAATCGTCAGCCTCTAGCAACTATCGTTTTTTTTGGCATGGTACTGGGGATTGAACCCAGAGTTATGAGCATGCTAGGCAAGTGCTCTATCACTGAGTGGTATCTCCAGCTCTTTTTATTTATTTATTTATTTATTTTTTTGGGTACTGGGGATCGAACTTGGGTCCTTGTGCTTGCGAGGCAGGTGGCGGAACCACTGAGCTAAATCCCCAGCTCCTCTTTTTATTTCCAATTTAAAAAACTTTGGAGGGGGAGGTTAGAGGGTTTGAGTTGCCCACACTGGACTTGAACTTTTGATCCTGCTGCCCCAGCTTCCCCAGTAGCTGGGATTACAGACATGGGTTACTTCGCCTGGTTTTTCTATTTCTGTGTATTTGGCTGTTCTGAGTGCCTCATAGATGGAATCCTGCAGTATTTATTTTTGTGTGATTGGTTTATTCCATCTAGCACAATGTCCACAAGATTCACACGGGTTGTATGTAGCATGTATCAGGATCCTGTTCATTTTGGGGTTTTTTCGTTGTTGTTTTCTTTAAAGAATTTTTTCCCTTAAGGCTGACTTACATTTGATTATACATATATGCACCCCAGATTGCTTATTCATAAGGTCAGTTGACATTTGGGTTGTTTCTGCCTTGCAGTTGTTGTGAATAATGTTGCTGTGAACATGGTTGTACAGCTATCCATTTGAGACCCTTCTTTCAATTCTTTTGGTATATACCCAAAAGTGGAATTGCTGGATCACATGGTGATTGTATTTTTAATTTTTGTGGAACAATCATATTATTTTCACAGTGCTCATACCATTTTATATTCTCATCAGAGGTACACAAGAGTTTGTTTCTGTACATCCTCACTAAAACCCAATACAGTGTGCATATGCATATATATATATATATATAT